CAGAGTGGCCACCAGGGAAACCTGGGGAGGGCTAGCCTCCCACTAGTTCGAATTAAGGGTCTACACAGCCCTTAATTCGAACTAGTAAGTTCGAACTAGGCTTAATCCTCGTGGAATGAGGATTACCTAGTTCGAACTAAGCGCTCCGTTAGTTCGAATTAAATTCGAACTAACAGAGCGCTAGTGTAGTGCCTATGAAAGTTAGTTCGAACTAACGTCCGTTAGTTCGAACTAACTTTGTAGTGTAGACATACCCTATGTAAGAAAAGGGAATTAACATGCAGGTCTTTTGACTTAGAAGCAGACTCCCTTACCACTAGGCAAATCTGCCTCTACTTTCTCTCTCTTTCTCTTAGAAGCTGTGGATAGCTCAGGGATATCAAGCCATACATTTGTGACTTTTAAGTACAGAAAAGCTATTATACATCATTTTCAGATTTTTTGGATAACTCCCTGTGAAGTCTATATAGTTGCACACAAGCCACCTGATGGTACAAGTGATGGGATGTTAACAATCAGCATATTACAATTTTTATTGGGATTAAGTGGCATATCCAGAATATAGGAAAGCCTGGTGAACACTGCTATTTAGAGCCCTGCAGTTCTGCATCTATGTCCGCAAAAATGAGCTGCAGATATTCGCATTGACATCTGCAGGTGCAGATATCTGCAAATATGATGCAGATATTCGCAAATTTGCAGGGTTCTAGGTGCAAAATTTGTATCTACATCGACATCTGCAAAAATGAGCTATGGATATCCATGGATTGGCAGGGCTCTACTGATATTTAATCAGCAGCTGTTTGGAGTGGCCTCAATGCAAAATTTGCTCCTGGATTCACCACTCATAAGTAATGCATCCATCCCAAAATCATGCCATAAAACCATCAGCCCCTATCACACCACTATGAATGTTAGTGAAACAAATATTTTAGGAATGTTTAGAAAACTTCTAAAAATTAATTGGGAGTATTTCTTCAAAACCTCTCCCTGAACAGCCAGATGCCTTAATATCATAAGTCCAATTGTAGGACTCTGTGGGAAAGGGAAATTATAACTAACAAATTTAAAAATAGATCCATAATGCAATGTCTGTGTATCTGAGCCAAGAAAGCCCCCAAGGGCATGAGTTCAGAACAGAGCAGCTGGCTCCAGCCCAGCATAGAGCAGCAGACCTGCTGAGAGCCCTCACTCTGCAAGGCATCTATCTTAAAAAAACAGGGTTGGGATACTTATCCATACAGATCTGAATCCTTGAAATGGTTTGGGTTCAGTGGAGGGGACAAGGCTGAGTTTTGGGCTGGGATTTTGCTTTTTAAGATTCACTTCATCCCTAACCGTTTTTTCAGCCCACATCCCACTGGGATGGATGATATCACATAATTATGTGATTTAAACCCTGATTCTGCTAGGTTTTACATATTTGCATAACTTTGGGTACTTGAGAAGATCCTTTCAAGTCACTGGGTGTGGACACATGCATTAACTAAGGCCTTAGCTACACCAACCCCTACTGTCAAATAAATAGTGTAGCTGAAGTTAATATACTTACTGTGGTGTCTTGTGTGTGGTAAGGTTAGTGGGGAGCTCCCCTGTTGATGCTAGCTACTCTTTTCATCCTGGTGGAATACCGGCATTGACGGGAGAGCACACAGATATCAATTTATCGCATCTAAGCAGATAACTGTAGCATCGATGCCTGGCGTAGTGGAGACAAGCCCTAAGTTACCTGTAGCCTTTGAAGTTTGGGGGCCTCAAAGAATAATACACATCTGTAATCCAGAAAGTGGCTTATCAAATGGTCATTATGAAAGATGTTGGCTAGGAAAGATTTCCTCTGATTAACTGCACAAGATAGACCTTATTAGCTGACATCAACTGCAGCCAAGGGGGAAAAAAACTGTTGGGGAAATATTTCTCCCCCCCCCCCCCCCACAACATTTGAAATAACTCCACTACATTTTGAAATACTATAAATAATAGGAAACATTGCTAAACTTGTTTCTTGAGTTTTGAAACCATCTCTCACTGATCTCAGAAAGCTGAAATCTTTTAGGAAGCCTATCCTTCCCTACAGCTACTAGTGTTCTTTCTCGTACAGCCTTTCCTATCCATTTTTTGAGGAAATGAGAGTTAATGAGGAAAATAAGATAATGATAAATTATAAAATGATAATGGAAATGGATGTAAAATCAGTCACCAATGATATCAGCTGCTGATGTACAGTTCTTCCTATATATTGGAGTAACAGAAATAATCTTTTATACATGTTTCTCTTATCTTAAATTCATCTCCAAATGTCCAACAGCTTCTAAATTTGTGCCTATTATTTTAATCTTGCAGACCCAAAGCATCATGTTTCTTGTACGTTAACACCAAATTCTTATATGTTTATCACAAAATTCTTATCCACAGAAAATATTTGCATGTGGAATTCAAGCAAGTGAGAGCCATTTATGTAGTTAAAATTGGGGTTTTGCAGACACTAATGACTGTGCAGGCTCTGCTTTCAAAATACAAAAGAAAAAAACTAGACATACACTTTCAGCTTATGTTACTTTATTTTCGAGGAAAGAACACAAGAGCCAGGGAGAGCGAGCAGAATGGACTTTGTTTGTATGACCCTCTATTTGGAATCACCGCTCACAGACTGTCTTAGCAACTCTTGCTATTGTATCATGAGTCTCACAATTCTTCTTCCTTTCTCTCTCAAAAAGGAAGTTGCTAGCCCTCTCTCTTTCTCTCTCATGGATGCAGAAGACAGCTTGAAAATATGAAGGAATTGTAACCTCAGGGTGTGTCTAGACTACAGGGATTTGTTGACAAAACTATACCTGCGTTTACATTGCCGCTGAGTTCTGTCGACACAATGTCGACAGAACTCAGCAGTTTTGTCGATGGCTGTAAACCTCATTCTACGAGGAATAACGCCTTTTGTCGACAGAGTTCTGTTGACAGAAGGCGTTATTGCATCTACACTTTCCTTTGCATCTACACTGTCATATTGACAAAACAGCTTGCTTTGTTGACAGAATTGGATGTAGTCTAGATGCTCTTTGTCGACAAAAGCTTTGTTGACAGTATCTGTCGACAAAACTTCTGTCGACAAAAGCCAGTAGTCTAGATGTACCCTTAGAGTCTGAAAACCAGCAAGCAAATAAAAAGAAACCCTACATTCATTCTTTCTTTTTTAAAAGAAATTCTGATCTCTTGGTTCTTTAGGTAGTCCCGATCCATGGTCTTGGACTTCTTACATTTAAAGGGACTGTACACAAAAGATAATCATAGTAATATGCACCACATTTATAAAGAGACTGGGCTGAAGTTTTAAATTTGCAGTATAAATTGTCAAAGGGAATGAAATTCAGAGTTAATGCTTGGAATCTTTGATAAATCAGTCTATTGGCACTACCTAGTGCACCTTGTATTTTTTATTATTTCACATTAGCCAGTCATCATTCATACTTTAGCTGAACTAAACAGTATGTTGGCACCGTGGGTGAAGTGAGAACAGAATGGTAGCCTTAACTCTGAATTTCCTGCCTCTATTTCAATCAGGCCCTTATTCTTCTTTTAAATGACTTTATATATATATACTATGGCAGGAGAAATTTCTTTGAGAGAGGCTTAAATGACTATGAATGAGGAAGGTGTGAAGCCTAGCCGAAGTGGGTTTCTTGTTAAAATGAAATTGCTGTCCAGGGGACCCAACTCTGATGGACAAAATAGCAAACTGTAGGTTGCTGGATTCCTATGTGCTTTGCTTTCTTGTGCTATGTTCTGTTGGGGAACAGGACATTGGAAATGGTATTTTGTGTGATTTAGTTGGGCTGTCCATGGACCCTGCTGTCAGGGCCAGTGGAGTGCATCGTGAATTAAAACCTACATTTGGGGAATTGGTGTAGCCAGCAGCAGTGGGCATAGCCTCAGGCCCAGAATGCAACAGACTGAAAACTGAAATCCTAAGTTATACTGCTGTCTTCTCTTTCAAAGGAACGTTCAGCTCTTTCTAATATGCTATTGAAAGTTGTGCTGGTCTCTTTAAAATGGAGAGAAGGCAACCATTAATTAAATAAATGTTGCTATGCTGCCTAGTGAGCTGCTCACAGCTCCCCATGTCTTTGTTTTTGTGAATTTCTTCGGCGTTATGGAGACAGTTTTTCACCCTTCCCTCCTCACCACAAGCAACAATGAAAAATGTTTCATAAAACTACAATCTCATGTAAGTTGTAGGCAGATTCTCTTCCTGGGCCTGTGCCCACTAAGGAAACAAACAAGAGACACTGGATGCAATTGCTTTGCATAAAACACACACACGCACATACACGCTGCACAGTCATGCACCCCCTCCCCCCCCACTCTCTCTGTAAAGCTGGTGAAAAATAGACTGTCCTTTTAGCCTTTCCTCTCTGTTAATTCAGAAGATCAGAAGTAAAACAGACAAGCACCTTATAACCAGCCTATTAGTTTTAGAATAGTTTGCTTCTTTCCATTCCACACTGCTTACAATAAAATGGGAGGAAGGTTTGAAAGTAAAATAGGCATGAAAAAAGAATGCTAGCCAAAGGGCCCTCTTTGCTTTTTCTCATGAAGGGCCTGATCAGGACTGTGCAGGCTCAAACCCTGAAGCCATAAATAGTACAAGCACCTTATAACCAGCCTATTAGTTTTAGAATAGTTTGCTTCTTTCCATTCCACACTGCTTACAATAAAATGGGAGGAAGGTTTGAAAGTAAAATAGGCATGAAAAAAGAATGCTAGCCAAAGGGCCCTCTTTGCTTTTTCTCATGAAGGGCCTGATCAGGACTGTGCAGGCTCAAACCCTGAAGCCATAAATAGTT